ACAAGCGTGGGGGCGACGCCGAGCCAACGGGCGTGCGCGACACCCGCGCAGGTGGCGAGGATGCACGCGAGATGGTCACTCCGGTGAAGGGTGCGATCGCGTATGCACACGCAGGGAGAGGCAAGACCAGGGGAGCAACCCTAGTCCTCATAGGAATAGGCAAGGCGCGAATACTAGACCTCGCAGGACTAGGAAAAGCAACTGAGTGCTGGTACGCGCGTGATCGGTGACGTGAGTAGTCCTCGAAACAGCAGGCAACATAGCCGGGAGAATATTACTAGTAGGAATAGGCAAAGTAGATATGGGCTCGAAGCATGATCCTTCAAGGAATAGGAATGGCGCATGCAGGGCGCAAGACCTTAAGCCTCGAGGCGAGAGAACATGCACATGTGGCCGAAAGCAGCGCGACCTTAGTCCTCGAGGACTAAGGCAAAGGCACACGGGCGGTGGAGCGGGCCTAGGCGGCGAGAGGTTGAGGCGGCTAGGGTTCTTCACCTTGGAGTGCAAGACAAGACTACTTGGAGTTCAAGACAAGGCTTCAAGATCCCTTAGTTATTTAGTTTCCTTCTTCCATCATGATATCTAGATTGTCTATGATTCCTAATATTTTATTGCTTTATTAGAGTTATAGTTAGTTTAAGATTAGATCTAGTTGATGCCTATATAAAGGCCCTTCCCAGATGTTATTTTTCATCATCAAATTTATCAATAATAATCCGAACTTTTCTTCAAACACTTTGTCTTGGATTTCTTCTAGACTTCTATTGCAATTTTATTCGTTTAGAGGGGTGCAGTTTGTGAACCTCTAGACACCTATCGACAATTCAAGGCACTAGTTTGTGGCTTATCAGAAGTCGAGATACGCAATCTTCATCAGATAGGTGAGCCTCAGTATGCACGTGATGGGTGTCACGGCGCGGCGCGCGGGCGTGGAGGTCTGGGCTGCTTACTTCCGTGCACGACTTTGCGAATTGGGTTCGCTTTCACTTAATTGGTCTCGTAATTCAATTCCGTTTTTTCCTGCTTGTCGCCAACGAACTCCTCTAATTAATTGTGCTCACACGACCGATTCATCATCGAAAATAAATACTCTTGAGTCTTCCAACCTACACACCAAAGACGAAGAAAAATCGGAAAATGACCGAGAAACAGAAGAAAAACCAAATAGACCAAACTAAGAAATAAACTACAAAACGAGTAAAAACCAACTAACAAGACCTAAAATGGGGGAAGAAGAAAGTCAAAATGACAACGAAAAATGCGATAAAAATGGAACAAACAAAACTCCACCATAAAAGGTGAATACGTAGCAGCCTCAGAGGCAGCAAAGAAGCGGTTTGGCTCAAATATTTTCTCCTCGACCTTGATGTGATACCGAGTTTGCCTGCTGCAATTATAGTTTTCTATGATAATAGCGGAGCATTAGCAAACTCGAAGGAACCATGAACTCATAAAGCGAGTAAACACATAGAGCACAAGTACCACATGATACGAGAAATCGTTTGACGAGGGAAAGTCATTGTTGCCAAGATACAGTCAGAGGACAACCTAGCAGACCCTTTTATGAAGAGCCTAGCGGCGAAGGTCTTTGACCGACACATTGAATGAAAGAG